TCCCTTGCGGCTAGGTCTGGTCAGGAGCCTGAGAACCTCACTTCCCAGCATCCCTTGCGGCTAGGTGTGGCCAGGAGCCTCACTTCTACACAAGGCAACATAAGGGAAAATGATGCACACTTCCCAAGGAACGTCTTGCCCTCCTCACTGGCTGAATATCGACATTCACTTGGACAAGAGCATCCAGGGATAAAAGTAATGGTATAGACGCAGCCCGGGTCTTCGACACGGAGAGACTGGCACACTCATCCTGGACTTTCTGTGCTCGTTAGAAAGAAATTCCTACCTCGTATCTTGGTTTCAAGTGCTACTCTACTCATCTTACAGGGCCCCCTGCCAGTTATTAAGTGATCGCCCCTCAGCTCTCAGCCTACCCCGTCCCCTCTCCCTCACGACGCAGGGACTCTGAGAACCCCCTTCCCACTCTGCTGTGACGCTGTGCATCACGCGGTGCCAGAACGGGGCCCGCGCCAGCTGGATCCAACTGACGGTGTTTCCGACGCTCACGGGGCCTGCGACGTGACGCCCCACAGACACCAGCCCCCTCCGCCCGGTGCCCCTTCCTCAAAGATCTGAGCAGGCCTTCAGGGCACCACCTGTAAGCTCAGAGACCCCGGCAACCGCCAGCCAGCGTCTGAAGGTCTGAACTTCGGCTCTCCGCTTCTAGACGTGGTGGCTGCATCCTGCGGTCACTACCCCCACGCTGCCTGAAGGAGTTCTCCCTTCACCCCTGCAGTCACCCACTTGAAAACCGCATTCCCGGTTGGCCATTCTCTGTATTAAACTCTCCGTTCAAATCACTCGTGTGGTCTCCCGCTCCTCTTTGGACCCTCATGGATACGGGCCCCAAAGGAGTGTCGTGAAGGCTGCCAGTGACCCAACACCTCTTCCATCTCTCTCCTGCTCAGAACTGGTCCAAGGATCCCCAGCAGCCCCAGGGCAAAGTCCAAGCTCCTGAAGGTGCCCCCGCTACTCCTGGACCCCGTGAATATACTCAGGGATGTGGCAAAGGGCCATTCAGGCCGCAGAGGGAATTAAGGTTACTAATCAGCTGCCCGTTAAGTGACTTTTTTTTTTAACGTTTTATTTTTGAGAGAGAGAGAGCGAGCGTGAGTCGGGGAGAGGCAGAGAGAGAGAGAGAGATGGAGGGTCCGAAGCAGGCTCCGCGCTGACAGCACAGAGCTCCGCGCGGGGCTAGAATTCACGAACCGCGAGATCGCAACCTGAGCCAAAGTCAGTTGCTCAACCGACTGAGCCACCCGGGCGCCCCCCCTTAAGTGACTTTTAAGCAAGGGAGGGGCGGAAGCAAATGTCTTTGGAAAAGACGAAAAACCCTCTGACCTCCGGAGAGACCGCATGTCTGTTTTCGAGCCCTTAGTCTGTATCGTGCGTTACTCTCAGATCCGTATGTGAACAGACCCCTCTTTACGCACAAGCCCTGGGGGGCAGGCGCCACCGGGAGCTGATGGGAATTATGGTTCCTCCCAGAAACAGCGGGGAGGCTGGGGGGGGGGGGGAACCTACCTGGCCTTTGGAGGGCGTGAGGGCTTCGTCCTCCTCCTCCCCTTCACTGCCCAGGACCCGGGCCGCCTTCCGCCCTGGCCTCTTCACTGGAGAATCGTTCTCAGGCACCTCTCCGTTCCGTTCCTTCAGCGCCACCCTGGAGGGTGGGAACATGGAGGCGTTCCAGCAGGCAGAGAGGGGGTATACTGCCCTGAACGTTCCAGCGCCTTCCCTAAGTTTCATTCCGTCCCTTTCCTTTCAAGCATTTAACGGGCTTCTTCTGGAGGCCTCCTTCCCTACACTCTTCATCATCCGTCCATCGACCACATCCTACGTGCCCACCTCCTGTGATGAGCGATGCTGGGGAGCGGACGGGAGTCCCTGCTGAGAGCAGAGAAGGCCTCCCTTCTTCAGTCACACAAGCCCCTGGGATGTGGCGAAGGCCATGGCCTCTCGGCTACAGACTATACTTCCCAGCCTCCCCTGCAGCTAGGCGCGGCCCTGTGACGGGTCCTGACCAACAGGATGTAAGGGGTAGGACTGATGCACGCAACCCGCTCCCGACTGCTCGTCCCCATGTTGTCTTACTGCTGGGACTCTCGGACTTGCCAACCGCCTTAACAACCCTGAGGTCCTGGATCCGGCCATGACTGAAGCCGGACCTACCTTTGGACTTCCCAGTTATCAGAGCCAAAAAAAATTCCCTTTAGGGCTCCAAGACATTCTGAGCAGGGCTCGAAACACTTAGAGCCAAGAGGGTCCTGATTGAGAAGAACAAATTCACCACGTCCTAGCCCCGTTACGTACTTTGGAGGTGGCTCTGTCTCTCTGCTGGAGGTCTCTTTCTCCGGCTTTTTCGCTTTGCCCTCCTTCTTGGGGTGGAAAAATGACCTAGTGGAACACAGGAGGAGGGGAAAACGGGAATGAATACAGCACAAATGGGTCCTTGGATCGGTGCCCCGTTGTATCGCTTCCGACGCGGACTGCCGTCCCAGCGCTCGACAACTCCCTTTGATAAGGAAAGTGACGCTCAGCCTGGGCAGGGGGGAGGGCAGGGGTGGGGCGACGCTCTGCTTATTTTTCCCATCCTGATACCCGACAGCCATGATGCATCCCAATTTTCCTTCAACAAGTACCAGCTAAGCACCTCCTAGGCGCCGGGGACCTGGCCGGGCCCCGGGGATTCGGCGGAGACCCAGACACAAGGCCCCCACCCCCGAGGGGTCGACACCCAGTAAAAGAGGCGATATTAAGTCGCTAAATATAAAATGTCAGGAGGCGGGAAGTGCTCTTATGAAGACAAACAAGGCAAGGCGTCCCCTCTCCACTTGAGACTGGCTCGCCCGAGTGGCTGGCTTCCGGAGTCCGGAGTCCTGAGCAGGGATGGTGGGAACCCATTGGTGCAGGCACCTCGCCCACGCTCTGCCGACCGGGTGAGGGAGGCCAGTGTCACTGGGGATGTCCCGTGCCCCCTCCTACAGGGTGAAGCCAGGCTGCTGCACTTCACCGCCCGTGACCCCAGTGACAACAACATCGGACAAATTTGGGGACCGTCTGCAGGCATCCTGACAAAGTCGGAGAAACCGTCCCCCAGAGTGACACCAAAGGGAACGGGGGAGGCATGACAACGAAAGGGACTATGGGACTCCGAAGCGCAGCCTGGAACAGAAAAAAGCGTTAAGGGATAAACCGTTGAAATCCGAACATGGCGTGGAGCGTAGTCAACAGTAACGTCGCAGAACCGGCTCCTTCCTGTGGCCGACGGACCAGGCACACGAGGCGTCAACGGTGGAAACCCGGGGCGCCGTGGGCAGGAACCATTCTAGAAGCGCCTGGGTGGCTCCGTCGGTTAAGCGTCCGACTTCGGCTCAGGTCATGATCTCACGGCTCGTGAGTTCGAGGCCCGCGCCCGGCCCTCTGCTGACAGCACGGAGCCTGGTGCCTGCTTTGGATGCTGTGTCTCCCTCCCTCTCTGCCCCACCCCGGCTTGTGTTCTCGTTCTCTCTCTCTCTCTCTCTCTCGCAAAGTAAAACAAATAAACACTTAAAAAAATAAATAAATAAAAATAAAACCCGTTCCAGAATGGTTGACTTTAAAGCAGCCAGTCAGTCAGCCGATCCAGCCAAGAAAGCCATCAGACACGCCGTCCGCCCAGGACAGGCTACGGCCAGATTTGTCGCCATGTGAGAAGAAGGGAGCCTGTGATCTGTGACCTCCCAGGCCTCCGGGCTGGGGGTCCAGGACTGGGTCAGCCTAGAATCCATCCACTCCTTTTGGGAGGGGCCCCTCCACACACTCTCCGACTGGGACAGCCCCCTCAGAGTCCCAAGTGAGAGAGTTGGGGCTGCTGGGTCCAACCGAGCGGTTTCTTTTTTTTTTTTTTAATTTTTTTTTTTTTTCAACGTTTATTTATTTTTGGGACAGAGAGAGACAGACCATGAACGGGGGAGGGGCAGAGAGAGAGGGAGACACAGAATCGGAAACAGGCTCCAGGCTCCGAGCCATCAGCCCAGAGCCCGACGCGGGGCTCGAACCCACGGACCGCGAGATCGTGACCTGGCTGAAGTCGGACGCTCAACCGACTGCGCCACCCAGGCGCCCCAACCGAGCGGTTTCAACTCCACAAGCCGAGGCCTTCCCCTTCCTGCTTCCCCGAGGCCGGCCTGCATCAGGACAGGGTTTCCCAACCTGGGCGCTACTGATGTTTCAGGCCGCCCGTTCTTGGTGGCGGGGGCTGCCCTGTGCACTGTCGTCCGGCAGCGTGCCTGGCCCTTCTCCAGCAGATGCTGATGAGAAGCGCCCCCTCTCTTCCCCCTAGTTACGACGCTGCCGGCTGTTCCCTGGGGGGGGGGCCGAACCACCGACTGCAAAGCACCGGGTCAGCACTTCCGAACCCCGTGGCTCAAAACTCTCGGTCGACACACTCACTGTCCTACGCGTCGCACTCCCCATGTTACCTTCTGACTCTTGGACATTCCAATTTGAAGAGTGACTTGTGTTCTTCCAGGAAGAGGCGCAGAAAGAGAGAGAGAAGAGCAGAGACCTTTAGAGAGCGTAGGACAGGGCGGGGTGGGGGAGTTGTTTCCTTACATGATACTCCGCTGCATGGTGCCGTCCGAAGTCTCTCTCCCCCCTCTCCTCCTCCTCTTGTCCAGCCAGATGTTCCTGAGACAGAAATCCCAACAGCTGGTGAGAATACGGGTCGTGCAGAGACCGAAACACACGGCCCTCCTTCTTCCAGAGAGAAGAAAACCCCACAAAGTCAGAAACATGAGTTCCTCCACCGAGATGAAACTCCCGTTTTTTATGGACCGGAATGACTGGCTGGTGGGATTTATTAGCGAAGATAAAGTTCCGGAGGCACCTGGGGGGCTCAGTCGGTTACGCATCTGACTCTTGATTTGGGCTCAGGTCATGATCTCCCGGTCGTGGGATCGAGCCCCGAGTCGGGCTCCCGTGCGGAGTGTGGAGCCTGCTTAAGATGCTCCGTCTCCTTGTCCCTCTGCCCCTCCCCTGCTCGCACTCTCTTTCTCTCTCAAAACAAAAAAGAAAAAGCTCCAAGTCAGAACAAGATAAGAAGGCTCCTCGACGGAACAGAGCTTTCTTCTTATCTAATATGAACACATACAAAAAGAGAAGAAAAGAAAGGAAGTTGTGTACTGTACGATTCCATTTACACAACATTCTCCAAATGACAAAACTCAGGATGGAGAAGAGATCAGGGGTTTGTCGGAGCTTAGGGACAAAAGGTGGGGAGCGGCTACAAGGGTCAGCACAGTGAGTGCCTTTGTGGAGCTTTTCCACACCCAGACCGTGGTTGTGGTTACACAGATTTACACATGGGTTGAAAATGCACGCGCTCGCGCGCACACACCCCCCCCCCCGGACAAACTCTGTGGTCTAGTTCCCGGTACCGTCCACTGCCAACTTCCTGGTTTTGATATTGGACTCTGGGTATATGTCACCCCTGGGGGAAGACAGGGGTACTGGTTTTACAACTTCCTGTAAGTCTATAGAAATCTTTCAATTAAAAAAAAAAAAA